ACCACCACCACCACCACCACCACCACCACCACGCTGCCGCCTCACGTCGACCGCGCTTCTCTCGCAGAGCTCGCGGCCGAGCGAGTCCGCGCCGCCATCGCATCGCACGTGACGGAGGAGCGGCCGAGCGAGGCGTCCTCGGGGCGAGTGTGAACGGCGTCTCCTCACGGGCGCGTGTGTGAGCAGGAGTGGGCGAGCGAGGCGTGCTCCGAGATGCTGCGCGCGAGCCAGCTGGCCGGCTCGGCCAGCGGCGAGGCCGGGCCGTCCTCCTCGAGCGCGCCGCTGCTCGAGGAAGAGCAGGAGCGGGCCGTCCTCCACGTGCTGCACAGCAAGCTCAAGCAGGCGCCGCCGCACCTCGCTCCCCCACCGCCCTCCTTCCCGCGCGCGCCTGGCCCACACGCGGGCCGTGGCCGCAGGTGCTCGACGCAGCCGAGGCAGCCAAACCGCCGAAGGCCGAGGCCAGCGGCAGCGGTGCCAGCGAGGTGCCCGCCAGGAGAGGAGGACCCGACCGCGGCTCGAGAAACTACCCTCCAGACCCATCGCTTAGATCCATTCTTAATGCTAGCGCCGCAGCGCGCGGGAAATCGTAGGCAGATGCCGAGAGCACCGTTTGTCGGCAGTGGCCAGAGTGACAGCGGTATGTATCATGGACAGTGTCTCTCGTTATAATACGGTTACGGCAAAACCGCGAGATACGCCGGGAGTGGGGTGTGTGTCTGTGTGAAAGTCTCTTCTCAGGCTAGAGTACCTCTCCATTATGTGCCGCGCTCTTGAAATACGTTCAGAGGGTTCGGTGACTGAACCACTTTAAGTGGGGACGAATCAGCGAGAACTCGCCTCTCCACCGTGTACGGCCGTACTCCCCCCCCAGACTCCCTGAGCACTGTGCACATGCACACTGGTGTCTGGTGTCTCCGTCTGGACTCTGCACTCTCCACCCTTTGGTCTCACGCACACACACTCTGTGCGCGTCGCACTGGTTTGCATTCGCGCGAACCCGCCTCTGGACTGCCTCTCGGCTCGCTCGAGTTGAGGCGGTGACCACCCATGAGAGTGACTTACCCAGTCCCGGCGATCATCAAGCCCCTGGGAGCGTCACCTTGCCCTCCTTGATTTGCGCCCAGAGCTCTGGCGTGAGCTCGCCCATGCTATCGCGCGCCGTCGAGCCGTCTGCGCCCGTGCGAACGTATTGGACCTGCGGGGCCTGCGACAGCGACGACACCTTCTCGCCCGGAGCGGCTCCGACGTGCCAGAAGTCTGCAAGCACGCGCATACGCTCGGCGATTCGCGCGTGCAAGTCCGTCGAATTTGTCAGCTCGTGTGCCCTCGCCAGCGTCATTGCCGCCTCCCGTGTACGCCCCTCGGCGAGGAGCGCCGAGCCAACCAGGTAGCCAACTTGCGAGTTGGAGAGCTCGAGCGCGCCCGCCTGCCTCAGCCGCAGGCCGGCCAGACGAGTGAAGTGCGAGGAGCTGCCGTGCAGCGCAAAGCGCAGCTCCTCGATCGCCTCTTCGGCGCGGCTCGACGCGTTGAGAGCCATACCGAGGTTGAAGTGCGCCCCAGCAGCCGGCGCCATCGACTGGATGTGGTGTGGCGCGCGGCCGTGCAGCTCGAGCACGCGGCGAAAGGTGGCCTCCGCCTCAGCGTGCTTGCCCAGGTTCATCTCGCACACGCCCAGGTTATTGTGGAAGAGCACCTCGTCCGGGCTCAGGCTCACCGCCTGCCTGAAGTGCTGCAGCGCCGCGCCGTGCTGCCCTTTCTCCATCTCGAGGTTGCCCAGCTCGTAGTGCGGCCAGGCATACTCGGGCGCGAGCCGCATCGCCTTCTCGTACGCCTTGGTTGCCGCCTCGAGGTCGGGCTTCTCCGGGTGGCTGAAATACTTGTACCGCCGGCCCCATTGCGAGCTCACGAAGGCGCGCAGCAGCGTATCGCCTGCCGCCTCGCGCCCCTCGCGAACCGCAGCCAGCCCATCGAGCAACAAGCCGCCCTCCTGGCGATCGACCCGGTTGAGCTTCCACCGTACGGTGCGCGCGGTGGCAGGCGGCCACTCCCCCGCTTTGAGCTGCTCCGCTAGCCGGCGCGCCTCGTCCAGTTGCAAGACAGAGCTCGAGAAGTTCATCGCCGGCTTGAGCGCGGCGTGGGAGGGAAAGAAGTCGGCGCTCTTGACAGTTTGGAAGCAGCCGCAGCTTGAGTCGGACTCCTCGCGGCAGGCGTGAACTTGATCCTGCAGAGCGCTGTAGTCGATGCGCGCAAAGTGGATCCCCAGAGGGCGGATAGCGCGCAGCACGCGAAGCAGGAGCGGGTGGCCGGGCTGGGCGACGCTGATAAGCGAGTCGGAGAGGACGTGATACGCACTGAGGCTTCCGTCTGGGCCCCACTCCTCCCATTGCTCCGACGGCTCCTCAAAGATCTGTAAGACTGAACCTTCGAGAATCGGGCCAAACGCACGAATGGCCTCCACGTCCGCGTCAGCGAAGATTCCCCCGTGAGCGTGGAGCACCAGGTATCGGCCAGCGTCCTCGCGCTGCACGTGTGTTGGCAGTGCGTGGAAGGTTTCGACGAACCAAGGGTACGACTCGTTGACAAGGGCTGAGAGAGCCGCTTCATCCCACAGCCGGTAGCTCCAGCCGGGGTTGTGTTTCATCCATGTGGCGCGCAGCTGCTCGCTGTGCGGAAGCACCTCTCCGCGACGATGGATCTGATGCAGCAACTGGGGACTTGGTGTCTGTGCAGCGTCGGCAGCGCACGTCGGGTCGCGGTTCAGGAATGCTTGAGCCGTCGATGCCGACTCGGGGAGGCTGCACAAGCTGAGGGCGGTGACAAGAGAGAACGCCATGGACAGGCGCACCCTCGTTTGTCGGCGGCCGGCTCGGCGGGCACTCGGCGGGCGCTTCCACGTTCCACGTCCACACCCGCCAGCACACACCGGCCCCAGGGATACCCGGCGCGAGACGGACAGTCTCTGAAGGCCAATTATTCACACCAGAGTAAATACGTGCGGTTCGAAGTGCACACGCACGTCGGTCTGTGCCGCTCGCTACCGGTACCGCTGGGGCGTCATGTATGTTGAGAGAGAAAAAGAAAGAAGGAAAACTGACAAGGGGAGGGGTGTGGTGCGCTAGCCGTCGCCCACCCTTGGGCGTCCGCCTCTTCCTATCTCTCTTCGCAGTCTCTCGCCGATTCTCGCTGCAACCTTCATGCCACCTCGCGGACGCGGTCGTCCCACTCTCGTCGTTCTCTCCCTTGTCGCTTCTTCCTCTGTCGCGTCGCTCTCCTCTCACTGCCTCGTTCTGCGACGCCGCCGCCGCCTGCCGGTCCCTTGTTCTCGCGGCTTCTTTCGCCTTTCGGCGCAACTCCGCCCTCCTCGCGGCATATTTTGGCCCCTCGAGTTTATCGAGCTCTCCTCGCGCAAGGACGACTCTTCTGACGCCCACTGCGATCATTTGCCGCCAAGTCATATCGTTGCTCAGGTCCACTCTCTCTTCGAACACGTGTTGAGAGAGAGATTTTTACCAAAACACGGAACAATTTTTTTGTCATGTTTGTTTGTTATTCTGCGTCAGAGAGCTCTCATCAGACACCTCGCGTGTGAGAGGACAGTTCGACGTAGCAGCTCACATGGACGTCCATGTGCTGGCTGGCGGAGGAGGCCGCTGCCGTCAGTCAGTCGACAGGAGCCGGCACGTACGTCTCGTCGGCCAGTGCCCTGGGCGCAACCATTTTCTCGCTCGTGCGGTCTCTTTTTCGCTACGCACTTGGAGCACTTGGAGTGCGGTCATCAACCTCACATCCAGGGCCGGGGAGCTGAGGAGCGCACCCAGCGGGCCGGATGATCGGTATCAGGTTGCGGGCTAGAGAGCCCTAGCCCTGGGGGGGTGCGCGTTCGCAGGGAAAGGGCCGTAAAGTAAACACGGGTCTCCGAGGGCTGGCTCCGTGTACCGGGGTTCCCCTTAACTGCAGAACGCCCCCTCTTACTCGGAGCTAACGAACACACAACACTGTACTTCACATACGTACATACACGGACACCAAAAGTGTTTTAAAAACTTAAAGGTGGCAGTCCGGGTTCTGTGAAGAGGGTCGCTGGTCGAATGCGAGCCAGTTCGCTCGCGACGCCGACGCCGACGCCGCCGCCGGAACGACCGCGGCGGCCGGTCGAGCGGCCGCCCCGGCCAGCGGCCGTATCGAGCCTGCCCGTCGCGAAGGTGCGGACCTCACGCGCCCCACCGGCCGCCCGCGCCGCCGCGCCCACGTCGCTCTCTCGAAGCCGAGCGCCACGCCGCTACGACTCCCATCGCGACGACTCCCGTGCTCGCTCCTGGCGCAGGCGATCGACTCCTGACACCCATCGAGCGGATGGGCGCGTTCCCGCCGCGACCCGGTACTCTCGAACGACTTTTGAGGGCAAAAGGTGCTGCCCGAGCCCATTCCCGCCGCCCGCCGCCCGAGATCAGCTGCCACCGGCCAGCGCGCGCGCGGAGACCTGCCGCGAGCGCCTCCGTGGCCCTAGCTGGGGTGATTAGCAAGCGCCTCGGCACTTTAGATTCGCCCCTCGGGCTTTTCCGCGCGCGTGATCAGTCTCGCGTTCTCTCCTTTTTCAGGCGCCTGTTTTCGGCCTCTGAAGAGCAACCGTCGAGGCGTCGATGCTCGCCTCCACGCCCGCGCCAAACCTCCGCGATTGGGGCGCCTTGTCGACGGGATCAATTGTGATTCCGGGCGTATTTTTCTGGTATCTTACTCGCACGTCGGCGACTCTTAGTCGCTTCTCCGTGCTAGGAGGCCTCTGTTTTGTGTCCGTGAGGACTAGATCGAAACTAACATTTCGGCATATGCGAATGAAATCGCCAAAAAATGCGCGTTCACTCACAATTCATGTGTATATGAACGGTGCCGACGGGTTTGGCGAGCATCGAAGCCGTCCAGGCGCAGCAACGCGACGGTTTCGGAGGCCGACGGCTCCGAAAGAGCCTCCCGAGCGAGGCCGGCGCGGTCACGGTACCGTGGAGGCCACAGACGTCGCCGGAGCGGCACTCCCGGGGCGCCACTCCCTCACCCGGTCAGGGGGGGCCAACCACAGCCCGCCTCGCCGTCCGTGGAGCTTCCGTGGTCCGCCGCTCCGGCTTCGATTTTCGACCCTCCCGAGGCTGCTAGAGCAGCCCCGCGGAGCCTCCCGGATGCACCAGCACACCGTCGTCCAGAACGCCGGCGCACGCGCTGCCCAGTGACTGGGCGGGTCGGCCCCGACTAGGGGCGGGCCCAGCCGCGCGGAGAAGACCATCCCACTCGCGGTTCGTCGCACCGTCCGCTCCGGTTTTCGTCTCGAGCGGGTCGTGAGACGGCCGCGAGAGCGAGCACCGCGGTCACGGTACCGTGGAGGCCACAGACGTCGCCGGAGCGGCACTCCCGGGGCGCCACTCCCTCGCCCGGTCAGGGGGGGCCAACCACAGCCCGCCTCACCGTCCGTGGAGCTTCCGTGGTCCGCCGCTCCGGCTTCGATTTTCGACCCTCCCGAGGCTGCTAGAGCAGCCCCGCGGAGCCTCCCGGATGCACCAGCACACCGTCGTCCAGGATGACGGCGCACGCGCTGCCCAGTGACTGGGCGGGTCGGCCCCGACTAGGGGCGGGCCCAGCCGCGCGGAGAAGGCCAGCGAGCTCGAAACACGTCGCCGCGGCCGGCCGTTTCGCAAGCCTGAGCGGGTCGCCAGACACCCGCGAGAGCCAGCAGCTAGAGCGCCGTCGTAGCCGCAGATCGAGTCGAGGAGCTTGATGTCCACGGTAGCAGTTGTGGAGAGCGGTGGCACGGTGCGTGTAGACGCGTCGATTGAGGGCTCCCTTTCGAAACGCGACGGGTACGGCATGACAACTGCCATACAGTTTTACGCCGGCCAGCGTGAGAGCACAACAGGGAGCCGGCGACCCGTACGCTTTGCGCGTGGCGACTGGTGGCTGTCTGGAGCTCGTGTGAGCTGGGCCGACGCGTGTCCGAGCCGAGAGGACCAGCGAGCGACCACGTTGGCGATGAAGCTTGGCGGCCGGCGCCTCGTCGCCAGACGTCACAGCGGCGTGGACGTAGGAGTGTGCGGCGACGAGTGCCGGCAAATCCGGCCCAGTGTGGCCGGCAGCTGCCTAGCGCTGGCCTGTGGCCGGCGCCGCGGTGGCGGAGAAGGCGTCTCGCCGCCGTGGCGGCGGTCGGCAGGTGCGAGCGTGATGCCATCTTGCGGGACGACACCCGTCTCGCAAAACCCGGACTGCCACCTTAAAGCCGTAAGTTGTGAGCAAAATGGGGTGTTGGTGACTGTATTGAGAAGAGAGTGCACAGGAGAGAGAATGCTTGCACGTTGTCTGTCTTAGTATATTGAGTACTCTTTTTCGACACAAACCACACAGAACATTACGCTGCTCCACGACTACAGGGTGTGTCGGAAGACCGGCCGCTGCGGCGCTGGGGGGATCCGACCCATCCGAGGGGCAAGATCAACAGCCAAGCGCAAGCCACCATTCTCTAGACCGGACGCGGAACCATCCACATAATCACTGGCTCGCGGCAGTAAGGGCACTCTTGCATCAGCTCAGAGCATGGCCCGCAAGCGCACAAGTGCCCGCACGGAACCGCAGCATGCGACTTGACTCTCGCGAAACACACGATACACGTGGTATCTCCCCCCATCGTGGACTCGGGGGCAGCCGGCCGCCCCGTGTCGAGGCCGGCGTCCGCTAGTGAGACGGCAGAACGCGGCTCGGTGACTGGCAGATGCTGCTCCGCCGCCTCTCCCGCCTCTGGCCCGATCAAGCGCTCGATGGCGCTGACCCGCTCCTCGAGGCTGCCCGCAGTCGCCGCGCCGAGGCTCACCTCCAGCCGCTCGACACGCAGCGGCAAATCCCCGCCTCCGCCGGTCGACTCGCTGCTCACCGCCTCCTCGCACCGCGACACCCGACGCGCCAGCGCCTCCTCCGCATCCACCTCTGACCGGCGCAGCGCCTCTGCCAGCTCCGCATCCTCGCGCAGCGCCGCCTGCTCTGCCGCATCCGCTAGCTCTGCCGCCTCCCGCTCCGCCCGCCTCGCCGACTCCTGCTCAGCAGCCAGCTGCGCCGCCCTCTCCTCCTGTGCGCGAACCTCTGCCGCAGCCTTCGCCTTCCGCTCCTCCTCGAGTGCGAAAGCAGACGGCGCCTTCTTGGCCTTGTTGTTCTTCGCTTTGGCCTCCTTCTTGGCCGCCGTTGCCTCCGCCGCCTTTGCGCGCCGCCTCGCCTTCTCCTCCTCCGCCCTCTTGTCCGCAGCCTCCTTCTCGCGCAGCGCCGCCTCTGCCTGAGCGGCTTTGCGCTCCGCCGCGGCCGCCCGCTGCTCCTCTCGCTGCGCCTCCTCAGCCGCAAGCCTCTCCGCCTCCCTCGCCCGCAGCGTCTCCTCTACTGCCGCGCGCTCAGCGGCCAGCTTCGCCTCCGCCTCCGCCGCAATGGCTCGCCGCTGCTCCTCGAGCGCCGTCGCATCCGCCGCCCGGCGCGCCTCGTACGCCGCTCGCTCTGCTTCGCGCTGTCGTGCCGCCCGCTCGCGCTCTCGCGCCGCCGCCGCCGCCTCCCGCTCACGCTGCTCGCGCCGCCCCTTGACCTCGAGCGCCTTCTCTGCCGCCTTCTCCGCCGCCTCCGCCTCCCTCAGCGCCGCTGCGTGCTCTGCGAGAGCGCGCACGCACCCGGCGTGGTCCATTTCAGGAGCACTGGCGGCGTCGGCAGTAGCTTGCACCTTGGCCGCCTCCTCCTTGGCAATCTGCAGCGCGGACTTGCCGTCTGCAGCGCGAGCCTTTGCATCCGCGCCAGCCCGAAGCAGGCGGAGCACGACAGCGGGGTGGCCTTGGATGGCGGCGGCCATCAGCGCGGTGCGGCCTTTGCTGTTCTGCAGGTTGACCTCTGCGCCGCGCCGAATCAGCAAGTCGACCACCCGCTCGTGGCCTTCCCACTCGCTCGTGGCGGCGATCATCAGCGCGGTGACGCCGTCTCTCCTCTGCAGGTTGATCTCAGCGCCGCGCCGCAGCAGCAGCTCGACCACCCGCTCGTGGCCGCCGACGGCGGCGTCCATCAGCGCGGTGCTGCCGTCGCCGTTCTGCAGGTTGACCTCTGCGCCGTGCCGAAGCAGCAAGTCGACCAGCCTCTCGTGGCCTTTGTTGGTGGCGAGCATCAGCGCGGTGCTACCGTCGCTGCTCTGCAGGTTGATCTCTGCGCCGTGCTGCATCAGCAGCTCGACCACCCGCTCCTGGCCTTTGTCAACGGCGAACATCAGCGCGGTGCCGCCGCCGCTGTCCTTCAGGTTGACCTCAGCGCCGTGCTGCAGCAGCAGCTCGACCACCCGCTCGTGGCCTTTGTCAACGGCGAACATCAGCGCGGTGCCGCCGCCGCTGTCCTTCAGGTTGATCTCTGCGCCGTGCTGCATCAGCAGCTCGACCACCCGCTCCTGGCCGTAGCGGGCCGCACTCATCAGCAGCGTGAGGCCGCTCGCCTTGCCTCTCTCGAACGTCGCGTCGGCCCGCCCGCCGCCCTCGAGCCACGCCAGCACCGCCTCCTCCTCGCCACGCTCAGCAGCGGCCACGACTGCATCGGAGCAGCTCAGGGATCCTGCGCCGCTGCTAAGCTCGAGTGCATCCGGCGGGCCGCTCCTCACCATGTTGGGTTCCGGCTCTTTGGGGGTAGGGGCTCACGTGCGACACGTGCACTTGGCCTCGCACTTTGTTAATGCCGCATGGCTCTCCCCGACTACAGTGTACAGCGGGGAGGAGTGCATTCTTCTCCCACGGCAAAGCGCCGGAATCAGTACCGCACACCCTAGCGAGCGAAATCCTCTTGCCCTCCCATTCGGCCTTGCCTTTTGCCAAGCAGCCGCCCGCGCCGATGGCCTCCCACCGCATCGGCGCCCGCGTCGCGGGCCTCTCGCCAGAGCAGCTGTGCGCCATCATCGAGGCGCAGGCGGGCGCGAGCGACGCCGCGCTGCGCGTGGCGGAGGAGCACGCCGCACGGCTCGTGGAGCAGCCCGAGTGGATCCTCTCCGAGGTCCTCCTCTCGCCGGACCTCGCCCCGCACATCCTCGCCCACCTGCCGACCAAGGAGCACGCCGCCAAGGGTACGTGCCGCGCGTGGCGCCGCGGCTGGAAGGAGACGCTGAAGAAGCGCGAGAGGCCGCGCCTGCACGTGTTCGGCGGCGAAGACACCGATGGACGCGTCATCAGCTCGGTGGAGCGGTACGACTTTGCTACGAATGCGTGGGAGGAGGAGGCGATGGCGCCGATGCTGACGGCACGAAGTTTTGTCGGCACGGCGGTGCTCGATGACAAGCTCTACGCGGTGGGCGGCGAGAGTGAGGCTGAAGGCGCAACTTCCAACCTGGTGGAGCGGTACGACCTGGCTGCGAACGCGTGGGAGGCGGTGGCGCCGATGGCAGAGGCGCGGCATGCTCCCGCCGTCGCAGTGCTCGACGGCAAGCTGTACGCTGTGGGCGGATCGAATGGCGAAGGCTATGCCCTCAGCTCGGCGGAGCGGTACGATCCTGTGACGAATGCGTGGGAGGAGGTGGCGCCGATGGCGACGGCGCGGATTAATCACGCCACGGCGGTGCTGGATGGCAAGCTGTACGCCGTGGGAGGATACAACGACGAAAACGGCTACCTGTGGGATGTGGAGCGGTACGACTTGGGTACGAATGCGTGGGAGGCGGTGGCGTCGATGGCGGAGGCGCGGAGTGTTCATGGCGTGGCGGTGCTCGACGGCAAGCTGTACGCTGTGGGCGGGTACGACGGCGGCCGCCTCAGCTCGGTGGAGCGGTACGACCCGGGGACGGATGCGTGGGAGGCTGTGGCGCCGCTGACGCTGGCTCGCTTCGGGGCCGGGGTGGCGGCGCTGGAAGGCAAGTTGTACGCTATGGGCGGCAGAATCGAGGAGGACGACGAGGCTGCTGAGCTGGACAGGCCGGCTAACACGGTGGAGCGGTTCGACCCGGCCTCGAACGCCTGGGAGGAGGTGGCGCCGATGGCGACGGCACGGACCTTTCCTTTCGCGCTCCTGATGTAGACTTGTAGAGAGGGGCATAGGTGATGTTCTCGAGGTGAATATCCTTTGGCCGCGTTGGGCTGTGAGCTGTGAGGGGCCGCTTTTATGGACCCGACGGGACGGGCGAGGGCGAGACGAGACGGAGCTATGAGCGCCTCGCCGTCCTCGGACCTCGCTGCTGGCATGTTGTGCGAGTATATGGGACAAAAGCGTCGAAAATGTCCGAAAAAGCGTGTCTCGAGTTTGTTGCAGCTCCGCAGCCTGCGCGCGCTGCCGGGACGCACCGCTCGCGCGTTCGGCACACTCGGTGGACCCCACCGAGTGTGCCGAACCAACAGGAGTGAGTAGGCTCGACGCCGTACTCGAGATGGAGCTGCAGAAAGTACGCCGCCGAGCGTGCCACCGACGGCGTCCCGGCGGCGGTGATGGAGTGTGAGACCTGAGGCTGCGGAGGTGACGCCTGAGGTACCGGCCCGTGCACAGCGACTCAGCCGGCGACCGCCACGGGCTCAGACGAGACTTGTCGACTCGTTCCGGCTCAGCTTCACCGTGGTCATCGGGCGTCTGTCGACGTCAGGACCACCCATACAGCTCGCGGGTTTGAGGTCGCAAGAGCCAAGATGGTGGCGTTTGGACATCCCAACCATCACACAAGACAGCCTGTAGGTGATGGCGGGACGGCGCAGTGTTTGTGGCACTCAGCAGTAGGCACCCGCGGCACGGCCCCGCTGTCGGCTCTCGCGGGCTGCGGAACCGGCCCCAGAGGGAGCCGGTCCGGGCGAGTGTGGCAGCTCCTGCGCTAGTATGGGCACCCTCTATCATAGCACTACTGATCCTGGTCATTAGAGCTGCCAGGGATAGCGTCAGGAGCCGGTAGGAGTCAAAACCTCTCATATTTGAGACATCGTGGCCCATATACTCGCACAACGAGCCTGCTCGCAGGACGAGTCGCTTAGGCGGCTCGTCCCGTGGTGTACCTCTGTGTTAGTGCCAGTGCGCGCCGGTCCCGTGCCCAGTGCTGTGCGAGGGGATTGGAAAATTCTTATCTTGCTCTCCCGAATTTTACAAAAGAAGAATTTTAAAAAGATCTCAAAAGAAGAAAAACGCTCGAAAGCGGCCCATACGCTGCCATTTTCAGCCACGTCGGCCCTCGCGGCCGCGACGCCCTCGTCTACCCAGCCGCCAAGTCCTCGTTGGCAAAAACGAGCTCGCGCCCGCCGTAGCCGAACGCGTCGCGGTGCTCGTGATAGATGCGAGACAGCTCGGCGCGGTAGAGGGAGTGCACGCGGGCAACCTCGGCGTCCGTGGCGGCGGCGGAGGGTGCGGCGGCGGTGGCGATCGGGTCGCCGATGACCAGATTGAAGGGCACGCGCCGTGGTACGGGCGTGCCGTACCGCCCGACGAAGCCGTTGGACGAGGCGCGCAGGGTGCGCTTGAGCCACGAGGCGAGCGGCCGCGGCAGCAGCCGCACCGCCTCCACCGCGTCCAGCTCTCCAAAGACAAACATCGGCAGGACCGGCACACCAGACCGGACCGCGAGCCGGATGAAGCCGGTCCTCGTCCGCAGCCGCACCACACCGCGCGGCTCGTCGACCGAGTTGGCCTCGTCGAGCCCGCCCGGCCAGACCACCACCGTCGCGCCGGCGCGCAGCAGCCGCTCGCAGTTGGATCTTCCGGCGTCCACCGCGCCGAACCAGAGCGTCATCTCGCGCACGAGCGGGATGCGGAAGAGGACCGACGCGCCGAGCATGCGCCACGGCCGCCGGAAGAAGCGGGCGAGCCGCTCCGAGCGCCAATAGGTACGCTGGAAGATGACGGTGCCGTGCGGGTGCGCGGCGACAAAGTATTGCCCGTCCGGATCCACCTTTGCGCCGCCATGGACGCCAAACTCCCCAAAGTAGGACTGACAGGTCGACTCGTAGTCAAAAAAGTTCCACAGCGCGTCGAAGCCCTTCCAGCCGGGATAGCGCTTCTCCGCCGGGTACAGGTAGAATGGAAGGTAGACGCAGACGAGCGCCCACGTCCACGGAGAGAGGTGATAGAGGTGATACGCGAGCAGCGGGAGGCTGAGGATGCCGAGGACAAGGTGCGCCGGGAAAATGACGCCGACCACCCACCACGCCTTCCAGGTCTCGGGCGGCAAGTCCTTGCTGGGCATCGGCGTCGTGCCTGGACCCGGCTATCGGCGAGATGCCGGGTGTCAGAGGTTGAGCCACCGCGATTCTTTTCGGGACTTCGTGCCAGTGCGCGCCAGTCCCGGGCCTAGAGTGGAGGGCGCTTGGGTCTAAATTTAGTGCGGTGTGAAGTGTTTATCTACTGCATCTTTAGCGCACTTTACCGCAAATTTAGCGCAAATTTAGCGCAAATTTAGCGCGAGTTCACTGCGACTTTACATCCAGATTTAGCGAGGTTTAGTTAGTGCGTCTTTAGTCCAGCCGCTCAGTAGGATCCAGCCGCAGACCCTCGCTGGGCCTCCCTCCCCCTCTCCCCCTGCAGTTCCCTGCCCACTCGCAAAAGTTCCCCGTCCCATCCCCAACCGAACGAAGGTTCAGCTGAATATCAACCTCCAAGGTGCTTTCCGGGCTGCTTCTCCGGGCCCGCCGAGCGGCAAAACGTTTGCCGGATTCGTGAAGGGCCGGCATACTCTGATGCTCACGTGCACAGTGTGATTCTGCAAGCAGTCATCCTCCCATGCCTCGCGTATAGTGCATAGCATCGGCATCGAGCTATTGAGCATTTTCTTCCTCGGTGTATTTGCCATTGCACTTAGGAGGAGGTGCATGGCTGGGGCTGGATCCAACATGCTACGAGGACACGCGTATGTAAAAAGCTGCTTGCGGTGACTACATGGATCATTGCCATTTGGCCGTTTCTGTCCTCGTGGTCTGGATCCTTCATCCTTTGGTTCAACACATTGGCTTTGAAATTCCAAGACCGACCCTCACCTCTACTCTATTACAGCTGGTGGTCACGGGCACAGCATGGGTTGTGCGGTCGGAGGTGGTGCTTGCGGTGGCGCATTCAACTGTGCTGGTCCTCCTCTCGGGAATCGGTTATGTGCCTGTGCTCAGTCGGGAGATCTTGCTCTGGAGGGCTGCATATCTGTCTAGCCTCACTGGGAGCCTGCCTTTGCGCTTTGGGTCATGAGGGCAGGGGCCAGGCATCTCCTGTGGTGCATTCTTGGCAGCCAAGGAGCAAAGCACGCGGCCCTGGCTAGCTGTGGTGTGGCTGGGAAGCCGTGCTAAAGTTGCGTGCCCGCACTAAAGATGCGGGACCCACACTAAATAAATGTACTGCAGCTGCCTAAATTGGACTAAAGTGAACTAAATGTGGGCTAAATTGGAGATAAAACACACTAAATATGTGCTAAATATGTGCTAAATATGTGCTAAATATGTGCTAAATATGTGCTAAATATGTGCTAAATATGTGCTAATTATGTGCTAAATAAATATGTGCTAAAATATGTGCTAAATTTGCGCTAAATTTGCGTTAAAGTCGCACTACACACGCACTCGAACACGCACTAAATAGCGCACTAAACTATCACTAAAGTTCATTCACGCGCACTAAATTTAGACCCAAGCGCCCTCGTAGAGTTTTGTTCATCGTGGCCCCGCCCGCCGGTCACAAGAGAACGTAGCTTCATTGGGCCCGAACCCTGGACCAATGTCCACCGCGCCGGGCACGCCGCCTTCGCCGTTCGCGGAGGGCGGCGAGAGAGTTGGTTGTTATGAGGGCGGCGGCGACGTCCCTGCGAGCATTCTGAAGGCCGCCGAGGATGGCCAAGCGGGAGCGGTGCTGTCGTGGTTCGACGGCGGCGGGTGGACGCGACATCCGAGTACATCTTAAAGAGCGGCTCCCGTGGGAGCGGAATGACGCTGCTGATGATCGCGATGGCCAATGGCCACGCGGAGCTGGCCGAGGCGCTTCTGCGGCGCGGCGCGGATGTCTCATTGCAGACCAGCGATGGCAGCTGCTATGCGCTGGGTCTCGCCGCCGTGAACGGCCGCGAGAACCTGGTCGAGCTGGCATTGCGGCACGGCGCAGAGATCAATCAGCGACCCCGCTCGACCGGCGTCACTGCGCTGATGCTGGCCGCCGATGGAGGCTACGAGCGGGTGGTCGACACGCTGATCCGGCACGGCGCAGAGATCAACCTGCAGGCCAACAACGGCGACACCGCGCTGATGTTCGCCGCTCTCGGCAACCATCCCGCCGTGGTGCTCCGCTTGTTGCGGGCGGGCGCAGACATGAAGCTACGCACTGCGGCGGGCAAGACAGCGCTGCAGTACGCCAAGGAGAAGTGCCACGCCGAGTGCGTCGAGGCTTTCAGAACGCATCTCGGGGAGGTGGCGGCACGGCGCGAGGCGCCGTCGGCCGAGGTGGGTGGCGCAGGGGGGGGCGGCGCACCCGCAGGCGAGGCGGAGGCGGGCGCCAGTGCCGCGGCCTCTGCCTCGAGCAGCGAGGGCGGTGCGGAGGCCGCGCCGGGCAGCGAGGCGGTGCCAAAGGAGGTCGTGCTAGCGGCTGAGCGAGGCGAAGAGGCGACGGTGCTGGCGTGGCTCGACGGCGGCGGGCGGGTCGACGAGAGGTTCGAGTACACCTTTGGTGACGGCTCTCGTGCGAGCGGCATGACGCTGCTGATGGTCGTGGTGGCCAATGGCCACGTGGAGCTGGCTGAGGCACTTCTGCGGCGCGGCGCGGATGTCTCGTTGCAGAAAAGCGACGGCAGCACCGTGCTGATGTTCGCCGCCTTGAACGGCTACGAGAACCTGGTCGAGCTGGCACTGCGGCATGGCGCGGAGATCGACCAGAAAGGCCCCAACGGCATCACTGCGCTGATGGAGGCCGCCTACGATGGCCACGAGCGGGGTGTCGACACGCTGATCCGGCACGGCGCAGAGATCAACCTGCAGGACAACAACGGCGACACCGCTCTGATGCTCGCCGCTGACAACGGCCATACCGCCGCCCTTCTCTGCCTACTGCGGGCGGGCGCAGACATGACGCTGCGCTCTGAGAAGGGCAAGACCGCGCTGCAGTACGCCAAGCAACAGGGCCACACCGAGTGCGTGCGCGCCCTCGAGGAGCACGCGGCGGCCAAGGAGGCGGCCGAGAAGGCGGCGAAGGAGGCGGCGAGGGCTGCGGGGGCGGCGGAGAGGGAGGCGCAGAGGGCAGCGGAGGAGAAGGAGGCGGCGCGGCACGCCGACGAGCTGCTGGCGGAGGTCGAGGCGGAGAAGCGCGCCAAGGGCAAGAAGGGCAAGAAGAAGAAGAAGGGCGGCGGGGCGGGCGCGGTTGGGCCGTCGCAGGAGTCCGAGGCGCCGGCAGAGGGTGATAAGGCGCCGTCGGAGGCAGACGCAGCCGAGGCCGCAAAGAAGGCCGAGGAGGAGAGAATTATCAAGCTTCTCGAGAAGTGTCACGAGGAGAGGATCCGGCTCGGCATCACGGCGGAGAGCCAGGCAGCGGCGTCGGCAGCGGTGGCCGAGGCGGTGCGCTTGGACGCTGAGGCGGACGAGGCGGAGGAGGAGGCAGAGGCGGACGAGGAGGCGGCGGCGGCGGCAGAGGCGGCTCGGGCGGCGGCGGCGCAGGCGCAGGCGGACGCCAGGGCAGCGCTGGAGAAGGCCAACGCGGCGCTCGCGGACGCGACGGCCGCTGCAGAGGCGAGCGCTGCTGTTGCGGCTGCTTCGAAGGCCAAGGCGACCGTTGCCAGGATGGCCGCGGATGCAGCCGAGCAGCAGCGCTCGTGACGTGAGAGCTGCTCGAGTGGCTCTCAGGATAGTATCCCGTCGATCACAATCTGTCCGCCACGTGGCGAGACTGAGTGAGAGTTAAGGACAATAGTGCTTAGTGGTGACTGCACTAGAGTCTCCTCTGCGTCACTACGAATCCTCACCCTCGAGGGAAGTTTTTTCCTTATGCTGCGGGGCTCCTGTCCGAACGAACGGCGTTCTCATTGTGCAGGTCGAGGGGGAGAGTTGTTAAAATGGTAACTCTGGACACGACCCCGCCAGGCAGATAACTGTAATGTCCCGCGAGCCGGCCGGGCGCGGGCCGCGGGTTCCCGGCGGCCGGCGCGCCGAGCCTCTCTTTTACGGTAGCGGGTAGGGACGGAGTTAACAGCATGAGTGAGGCGCCAGCTCTAGATCTCTAGTCCTAAAAGCTGTCTGGCCACAGTCCACAGCCCACACATAAACAGCCTCGTCCACATGCATCGCGCATCCTGCATGCCTACTATCGTACACCACTATACAGTGACAAGGCCTCAAGGCTCGTTGTAATCTAAACAGAGAAAGGATGACTAATCATTGGTGGACGAGGGAAAGGGGGGGGGGGGGGGTAATGTGCAAAATGTTACATGCGCCTATGCCATGCGCAATCGCGTACCTGCATATGCACCCGTCGCTCACCTCACTCGAGCAGGCCCAGGGCGCCCTCCAGGTCCTCGTCCTGCAGCTTTGCCTCGAGCACGCCGAGGCGAGTACAGTCGCGGCCATTGGAGCGGATCTCGGGGAATTTCGGCACCTCGTCGCAGCTTGGGTTTATGAATCCCTCCACAAGTGCCCACACGCCGGTTGGTTCGAGGTTTTCAGCAAGCGCTATCATTTCCCCCGAAAAGTCGTCCCAGCTCTTCGCCTCCTGCTGCACAAGATCAACCATTGCCTCTTGAAAGAATTCGCTGTCGTCGTGCCATCGGCCCGAGACCGGGTCTTGCACACTTGAGCCAGCGAAGTAGGACGACTGGGACGCAATTTTGACGAGGTCACGATAGAGGCTCGAGAACTTGGGATCCTTTCCGACCGTTTCCTGATAGTCAGCCCAGATGGCGTAGTAAGTGGCCAAGGCTTCGATACACGGATTGGTCACTACGGACTCGACTGCGGTAACGGCGTTGGTCAAATCTGGCACACAGGTGAGCTGGTCGGCCACAAAGTCCTTAAAGTTTTTGCCGATCGATTTCACCGTCTGCTTGGCCAACTTTTGGGCAAAGGCGAGTTCGAATCTCGCTCCCCTGAACTTACTGACTTTTGAAGCGATTCGCGCGGCGGTCACTCCTTTCATCACGCCTTGTTTCGCTGCTCGCCACGAAAGATTCGCCAAGCCGCCCGTGAAGTAGAACATGGCTAGTTCAACAACGACCGAGAAGACGTTGGCAAAGTTCTGTAGTATCATTTTGTCGCAACCAGCAGCATCCGGAGTGCACGCAAGGCCGCATTTATACGGCATGCCCGCCGGACAGGGCTTCTGGGGCTTTGCGCAGCTCACCCCAATGTCTTTCCAACTCACCCTCTGCGACTTCGCCCTCTGCATCGGCACTCCACCCTGCGTGAACAATTCCCACTCCTCAACGTACTCGTCTGGCGGACAGTCCGGTGTGCAAATACAGCAGCCAAAGTTGTGGGTGCTGAAGCCATTCCTTGGCTGGCAGGGCTTGTAGCAGAGTCCTCCCCATTCCTCCAGACCAGCATCGCACTTCAGGTCTTGCGCGTACGTGTCACACTTCCACTGCCAGGGCCACTTGCCCGTGCATCTTGTGCAGAGCAGTCCGGTGTTTTTGTAGCCGGATCTGCATCCCTGTGGGCGCATGACCTTGCCCACGCCACGCCCGTACTCTGCCGAAGTTGGCTTTTTGCAGAACAATCCGTGGTCGGTGAAGCCAGGCGGGCATGGCATGTAGCCCCTCCAGCACTGGCCAGGCGATCCGCCCAACTCGGGGCCACCACGGAAGCGGAGAATGTCTAACGCCCACTGCCTGATTGCATCCTTGCGCTTGCATGCGTTTAGTTGGTCCTCGTCTGGCGGCGGCTTGGGAGAGGGCGGCGGCGGAGGCGGCGACGGTGGTGGCGACGGCGGCGGCGAGGGTGGCGGCGGCGACGGTGGCGGCGGCGGTGGCGATGGCGGCGGCGACGGCGGTGGTGGGGAGGGGGGCGGCGACGGCGGTGAGGAGGGCGAGGGCGGAGGAGCCGACGGTGGTGATGGCATCAGGGGTGGTAGGTGGCCGCACTGGCTCAAGCAAGGGCTGACGTCGCGGTGATAGCACATCAGCTCTTCTGGACCAGTGAGGTTATACGGCGGCCGAGCCTCGTTCAGACCGAACGGCCACTCCTGGCCGGTGCATTCGGGGACGGGAGGGAAGTCGTGCACCGTGTCTGGCACACGACCTCCGCCGCCGTCGTCGTATGTTGGCGTTCCGCCGGCGTATTCCCAGTAACACGGGCGCGGTCCTTCCAAGTCCTCGCATTTTTCGGGGACCTCCGTGGACTTGTAGTTGTAGGTGTACTGCTGTGGGTGATGCTGGACCCGCGGGCACACCCATTCTGGAAATGCTCGATAGTAATTGTCGAATGGGTGTTTCCAGAATTCGCTGTCTTTGTAGACCGTCCTGACAGACCCGGTTCCCTCCAATTCTCCTTCATCTGTTCTGTAACGATCGGGATAGTATCGCCCATCGAAGACGGTAGCACGTCTGTCGTTGATGTATCCGCTGAACACCCCGTACTGTTCACCATCATAGCGCTTGCTGTTATCATGGTATGGACCGATTGCCCGGTCTGAGCCCCAGTTGTAGCAGCAGCAAGCGTCCAGGCCTGGATCGGGGGTGCCGACAACTCTGCCGCCCGACAAGCGTGGTGCAAACTCTGACCCCCCCGAGCCGCCCACAGCGTCGCTGTTCCAGTATATCCCGCTGTTGTCCGATCTGAAACAGCCCTTGCGCCAGTACCGGCCGTTCCCACTGTTGTCATCGACAAACACATCCCCGGTAGCCTCGGCTGCTGCTTTGCATGCCTCTTTGGTCGACGGAGAACCTTGCGCCGGCTGGGACGGAGTATTGTGTACCTTGCCATCTTTGTGGGCCCGGTGCGAGCTCCAGCGATAGTAAATGCGGCAGATCCCGTCGACGCAAGCCGGTGGGGGCGGCGGGGACGGAGGCGACGGCGGAGAAGGCGGAGGCGATGGCGAAGGAGGCGGAGGCGGCGGGTAGAACGTGAAGGAGCCATCTGCAGAAGGGCCAAGCAAGGTGCACCAAGCCTCACAGTAGACTGTCACATTCCCGTGGGCCGTTGGATCTGCCCGGAGGACACCGACGATGGTAACGTTGCTGTCCCGGCTCACGTTCCACGTGCTTTTATCATCGACACAGCACGACGCGTCCGAAGAGTCGGTGTAGCAGGAGACTTGGGCGTTGCCGTGCGCGACTAGGAGGACTTGAAAGGCGGACTGGTCCGGACCTTGCGTTACGCGGACCTCGCAGGGCGCACCGCTGCCATTGATTACCAGAGTCTCGTCCGGCGGCTGGGGGAGACTGCCAGTCTCAGGCAGGCAAAGCAGCTCATACTGCAGTCGTGCCTGCTGGCCGACCGAAAGTGGCGTAGACTGGTCGGCCCTGCACGCTGCAGCCTCGAACGATTCCAACGGAGCGAGGCAGCGGCAGAGAGATGAGTAGTTCGCCACATCCTCGATGCTTTGCTCCTCCCCCATGCAGTCGCGGTAGCTGTCCATGAAAAGCAGCATCTGCGTCTCGTTGCAAAGTGGCAATGGAGGTGTTATCGGCGGAGGTGGTGGTTGAAGTGGGGGCGGCTGCGTCGGAGGGCGGGAGGGCGGCGGGGGGGGCGGGGGGTTGGGCGGATGCATTGTATCGATTTCGATGTCAAACGTCCCTCGCAAGCCAACCGCGGGCAGGCGTTCTCGTAGGGTGCGATCCATCCAGTCAGAGAGGAGGATTGCCGTCTCTGCCAGAGTCTTCCCTCTGCCCACCACCAGCGATGACGTGACCTCGACCACGACTTCGGCCGAGTAGGTGAGCGACACGTTCGTCGCGTCAAAGAGGAGCTCGATGTTTGGCTGGGTAAGGAGAGAAGTCTCAGGAATGACAGCAGAACGAGGCAGTCGCTGAAGCAGCTGGATGTTTGCAGTCTCTGCCGTTTGCTCCACCACGGTACATAGGAACGAGTACTTTGCACAGCGCGTGGGAACTTGGTCGAGACTGGGCGTCGCAAAGGAAACTGCGGTCGAAAGAAAGAGCTCGGTGCCGTCAAAGATTCCGTCCAGCGCATCATAGACACTGCTCGCCTTCTGCAGCGTCAGATTCGAGGCGTCGAGGAGCAGCCTGCCTCTGCGGAGGCCTGTGCTTGAGGCCGTCGCGAGCGCCCCGACGGCAAGCGGCTGGAACGGCATGGGAGGGAAAGGTGGCGCCGGAGGCAGCGGCGGCGCCATCGGTGGCAAGGGCGGAGGCAGCGCGGGTGGAGGCGGCGCTGGCGGCTTTGCAGATGGCCGAGGACTCTCCTCGACAGGCCGGTCGGCTGGCGCCGACGGCGCTGGAGGCAGCACCAGCTCCACCCTCGGCGGCGCTGGCGGCTTTGCAGATGGCCGAGGACTCTCCTCGATAGGCCGGTCGGCTGGCGCCGACGGCGCCCGGTCCGTTGGCGCCAATGTGAGGCCCAGGCCCAGACCCAGGGCGAGACCCAGCGCTACGAAGGCCGCCACCCCGAGTACGACGCAGCGGCGGCGAGAACGCTGGCTTGCCACTGAAATCGAGCTCTTGTGTGAAGCCATGTGCCCAAGGCAGAAACGGACCGAGGAAGTCGAGCGCGTCCATGGCGTGCCATTCATCAACAACCGCCGATTTTCATCGACATTCTCTCGAGGTCTCATTGGCTCCTCATCGCGCAAACCAACTCTTTCGTCTTGACACAGTCGCCTGTTTCTGTAGACAGCGCGTGTTTTGCCGATTTTTTGTCTCTCGAGGTCTCGCGGGAAATTAACGGCTGCGGCAGGGGCTGGCTGTGGCTCCTCACATCGCGCAAACATGCCAGCTCTTTGGTCTGGTTGAGGCGCGTCTTCCATCACGTCTGTCGTCTCCCTTTTGGCCCCCTACCTAAACGGTCTCAGACCTAGAATGGCATTCTTCGAAATAGAATGGGAGCCGCAGCGGCCCGTAGCGGCGCCCCCTGCGTGCCCACGGCCACCCCGGGGCCATGGGACATCCCCCCGGCCATCGGGGATGCTTGGTTCATCCATTACCCCATTTATACGGGCTGTGTTGCGGCGCGCCTCGAGACGCGCAGCGCAGCGCAGCGCGTAGACCACAAAACAGGTCAGAAGACGGCCGTGGCGACACCCGCTCTCTGAGCGACAGCCCCGCAAAGGGCACTCGCTCGCAGGCGAGGACTACGGGCAGCACAGGCAGCAGCAGAGCTGGCGGTCCGTCTCCCCGCCCGCTGTAGCAAGTCGGCCCCAGCGTCACGGCCGGGACGGGCCAGGAGCCGCCCGGCTCGACGAGATCGACGAAGAGGACGAAGACGAGGACGAAGACGAGGAGAGGACTACTCGAACTTGGACGAGGACTCAGGCGAGGCGCAGGACTCGGAGACCGGGCAGGGAAGCGAGGACCATGACTAGGTGACACGAGGAGTAGATGTGACACAGGTAGACCGCATTCGCGCTGTCTGCTCACTTCTGCCGCCCGACCCTTTCGCCCGCCCACCACTTGCGAGCACAAATCTCACACTTCCACTGCCCTCGCCACAGGCGGCGACGGACGGACATCCAAGGCTCGAACGGCTGCAGCGGCTCAACGGCCGCCGGCGGCCGTCGTGCGTTTGCTTTCGCCATACGCGGCCCCCGGCGTCTGCTCTGGTTCGCCGGGGCGGGGGGGAGGACTCTCATTTGCGGACTGTTGGGCTTCTCTGTGTGAACTGGCGCTGTCGCAA